GGTGCCGCTTTAAAATGTGGTCATTTAAGTTCTCTTGGAGGTTACTTGATGATCGCGCACTCCGTAAACGGGCAGCTAATTTAGAAATGCTGCATTTTGGTTTCGAAAAATTTCGCGAATCGTTCCCAACTATATTCTTTGGACCATTTAACCAAGTCCACTCCATATTAACACGGACAAAGGTGTGTGTAATCCACCATAAAGCGCTAAGTTATGCAGGACTTCCACACGACATGTAGTATTCTTCCTTACTCCTCGTGCGTCCCGACTGCATCATAAGTTATCCAATAAACAAATGCTACTGCCTATTCTAAAGTAGGAATTTTGTCAGAAATAACGAAAAAACATTGTCAGACAAATGCTGACGACGCGTGTAAGACACCACTTTCAGTCACGCCATCAAAAGTCCGCTTTTCTCATGAGAGGAGTTGAGTGTGAGCATATTTTAGTCCGTTTATTTCAAGTCAGACGTGGAATGAAGGCATGAGCGCGCAGACGAATTTTCACCATTTGCATCCAAACATCTGAAACATTACTTTTCGTGCGTTCTGGCCTCTGCACATACAGTAGGTGGGCTAACTCATTAAATTTCAACCGAAATTCTGAAGTGCGTTTTCCTTTCGGAAAAATTAATAAGGGAGGGTTATAAAACTATCCAGCCTGCAGAATAATTCCGTAATAATTCAGTTACCCCACGATGCTGGCTTTTAAACGAGCTTCCTGCCTGCTGCGTGCAAAAACTACACTCTTCAAAAAATGGCTACTGAATTAGAATGTATTTTTTCATTGATTTTCGATGCCCCTAAAAGTTTAATTATTTTTCATTGAAAGCATGCATAAAAATATTCATTTTTTGCTCAATCGGTAGATAATTACGTCTCCTTCTAATTTTATCCTTGAAGGGAGTGCATAATTGGGTTTTAAAAAAGTGTTTAATTGTGGGTTTTCAATTGCCGTGAAATAACCTTTCATAAATCGTCATATCTCTGCATTTACCAATGTGGCTTGTTAATTTAGCAAAATGGATCAAATCCACTGCTGAATTTTTAAAACCCTATATGACCCCCCTTTTACTACCGTCGGTAAATATGTGGTTTTCCATACGCGGAAAATATGCGGCTTGTAGTTTGGAAACACTGAATGCAAGTGTGACGGTTGAGCGGGTTATAATTTTTCGGGAATCATAACTGTCTGGAACTCCACGTAATCCGGTATAAAGAAACGGATAATATTTACTTTATGGGAAAAAAGTTTCGTTGTATACGCGAAGTGGTATGTTTACGACCACACCTGTCAACTTTATTTAAATTTATTTAGCACTGACAGCATGTCTCTTTGTGAAAACTTCCTACCCTACGACGTCCTTAAAGGAATATCAAACAAAATTCTGCTTGCATTATTCAACCGCATCTCAATCAATTTAAAAGCATAAAGAATATCACGAAGCCTCGGGAAACTGTTTTGGAATCTACACTGAGGATGGACAGTGCGTGACCGGCATCATGAAATATTGGCCAAAATTCTGGAATGCGTTTTCGATTAGGAAGGATTACTTAAGTGAATATTATACCGAAAATCATGCAGCATAACCCTATAAGATTTCGGACTCGCCAGGATGTTGGCTTCTGAGTGCACTACTTTTTGACCTCCTACGGAAACCACAGTCGGTAAAAGATGACTACATAATTAGCATGCATTTTTCCTGTTGATTTTTGATGGTCTTATAAATTCAAATATATTTTATAGAAAACATGCACAAAAATATGCCCTCTTTTGCGCATCGCATTTGGTAGGAAATCATATTGTCTCCGGGTTTATGCTCAAAGAAAGTGTATATTTAGATTTAACAAAAGTTTCCCAATTTCCGAATAATTTTCAGTCTGATCTGCCATTGCATCAGCGTTTGGCAATTTCAGTCTACAAGGCGCATGCTTTCCGAGCAAGGAAAATCACACATTCCTCTATGCATTTAAGAAGATACAACATAGAGATGATGACATTTTGCAATGAATCTGGACTACGTTGTACTTCCTTGAGGTCCGTTGGTAAACGGAAATATGCGGTCTTGCATGCATGGACACCGCACGGTCTTAAAAATCTCATAATAAGAAACTTTTTAAACCCAAAATATACACTTTGTTTGGGTACAAAATATAAAGACAATGCGATTTCCTACTAAATAAGCAAAAGAAAGCATATTTTTGTGCATGCCTTGTATAAAATATATTCGAATTTATAAGACCATCGAAAATCAACAGGAAAAATGCATGATAATTAAATAGTCATCTTTTACCGAGTGTGGTTTCTGCAGGAGGTCAAAAGGAGTGCATCCAAAAGCCAACATCCTGGCGAGTCAGAACCCTTATAGGGTTATGATACATGATATTCAGTATAAGAACCCCACCCCAGTTAGGTGATTAACTGTACGAATTCAATGTTATGGCAAGTCAAGAAAATTACTAGGATGATGACTGTCATGAAGGAGAGGTGGATTGATGCTGACTTCTTTTCATTCACCATGGCATGAGACGGCCTACCTAGTTTGGTGGCCCCGTCGGAAACTGCGGAATTTAAGACGGACACTTGCTTGTTGAGAAACAAACTACGCATATAATCAAGATTCTGTCAGTGAGTGGAGTTTGTGCCCCGCTGACACACAACAGTTCGACCGTCGTTTCCGATGATGTCCACCGTGTGCTCCACAAGAAGGTGAGAACATGGACGGTGACTTGCGCGTGATATAGTTTATAGTGAATGCAGGCTTGCGAAGCATCTACCGCACTTTCTCATCTTCCCTCACCCTGATCCCGTGTCAAGACATAGTCAACAAAACCAGAGGTGGAGGAGGGCGCAGGTGGCTGGCATGACCGAAGCTGCGCCTAGGCATGCCGCCGACGGCTGGCTCAGATGCGACAGAGTGGAAGTGCCATGAAGGCCACATTAAGAAGGAGCCATTGCAGCCTGACTCCTAGACCACCAGCCAGCCTCTCCACACAAACATACACAACACTGGGATGACTGCGATTTCCAAGTAATCCCGTCAGTAGGCAGCCTTCCAAGCCACGGATTTTAGCGCACCGTGATAGCTTCAAGCGCGTCAGATTGTTTATAGTGAGGAAAATGCGTTGAGTCGTCGACCTCACTCTACCTTCCCATTCCCACACCCCAGCCACTGTCCCAGCCGGTCAGCAGACTGGAGTGGGGAATGGGCGCGGTGGCTGGCATGG